TTTTTTTTTTTTTTTTTTTTTTTTTTTTTGGCGCTGTGAATTGTAGCCCGTAGCAGAGCGTGGCGTGAGCAGCAACGTGTCGTTCCGTAGATGAGTAAGCAGAAGGGGGGGGGATGTGCTTTCCTGGGCTGGAGGCAGGTCTGCCTGCTGTGAATCGTGGCCGTGGCTTTCCCCCCCCCGTCAGAGGCAGAAGCCTGCGGCTCGGCTCTGTGGGATTCGTTAGATAAAGGGCTCTTTCCTTTTCCTCCTGTCTGTCGTCATTCAGACAAACATGCTCCTCACGTTGCCCGCTTTAAATTGCGTCTGTCTGATGCAGGTAACAAAACAGCTTGCTAAAATCTCACTTTTTAAAAAGATCAAGGGTAATGAGGTTCATCTCCATTCAGTTAGAAATCCCCTGAAACAATTAAAGCTCAGCCTGTCAAGTCATAAGCATCAAAGGCTTTTGACGAATGTAAATGTTAAATAAAATCAACACTTTGTTTAGGTGACGAAATCCCCTAAAGACAAAGTCCTGAAAGCGGTGTAGGGACCACCGAAAACAGCGCTTTTGCAGCCGTTGTGATTTTGACGAGGACAGGTTAAATCTCTGGGGTGTCCCGGGGCTGTGTCCCCCGAGAGGGACCCCAAATCCCGGTGTGCTGGAGGCTGGCGGGCAGGCACGGAGCCAGAGCTTCCTTAAGAGGCGGCGGTGTGGGGTGAGGAGCCGCTTCCAATTGCGAGGCAGGCAGCACATGACATAAGATGCTCCAGATCTGCCTCCTGGGCGCTAGTTTAAAAATAAAGGATATTACACTTCATCTTCGGCGCCGGTCCGGAGCGGCTGCGGGAGGAGAGGCGGCACAAAGGCGATGCGCTGTAAGGCTGGACCCAGAGCCCTGCCGTGGCGGGTTTGGGGGGGGTCCGAGAGACGAGTGGGAACATTTGGGGCAAAGGGAGTGTAAAATTTAAATTGTTAAGCTCACGGTGCTGTGTCAAAGCTCTAATTGTCACGCTTGTTTTCGAATGCGGGAGTGGATGTCTCGTTTACAGCTGATCAGGTTTTCCCAATGGACCGGGAGTGATGCGGGGTGCGCTGCGTCTGCTGTGAGAATTCACCCCGTTCCATGCAAAACCAGCAGTCTCGAGTCGTGCCTGCTTTGGGGCTTGCCTTGCTCGGAGAGCTACATCAATGGAAGCTGATTTTTACCATAGCGTTTGATTGCATTTTAATTTTTAAAACCTGTTTTTTACAGGGACAATGCTGTGTGAGTCAGATGCACGTATGGCACTTGCAGAACCAGTCCCCACGGCTTATTTTACTTCAGATCCTCAAGGGAACTGTGAGGTGTCACTGGATGATGTACTGCTCAGCTCTTCAACTGGGTTTGTCTCATTTAAGCTTTGATTTTTCTCTGTCGTATACATAGGGTATAGTTTCTATTCTACCATGTTTACTTAGATTAATTACGATTTTTTTTTTTTTTGAAGAACTTTCAAACATTTGTTACTAATTCCAAAACCCGAAAGGTCAGTCTAGTCTTGCTCTCTGAGAAGAAGAGGAACAGCATTAAATTTGCTGCACACAGCTACTACATAGAGTATGGAGCTCGAAGTAGTGTGAATTTAATTTAAAGCACAAGAATGGCAGAATATTCTGTGTAGCTGGAAAGATCACCTCTTACAAAGGAACTTTGCATAATTGTTAATTCTATGTAATTAGGAGGGCACTGATCAAATACTTAGAATGCCTGGCAAGTACTACATTATCTGTGAAGCGTTGCTGTACTGCAAACAGAGAGGCTGCCTCTGTAGGTGATCGCTTGTGTGCAGTGCCTTTGCTGATTTTTATCAAACTCCTGTTAGTCTCTCTGTAAATCTGAGCAGCCTCTTACTAAAGAACAGATCACTAGTTAAGGGCCTGTATCTCACTGCCACGTAATGGGATATAGCTGACAAAAAAACTCACCACAATTTTTTTTTCAGGCTGCATTTAAACTGCATGTAGTAAGGGGGAGAAAAAGATGATTCACTGTAAGGGAAAAAGCTGGGTTTTTTTTTTTTTGCTTATATCACTGGGTCATTTGCATGCTTTGATGCTAAAAGCTAGGGGGGAAATGATGCAGAACTATTGCAACTGAGGATTAATTTGGGCTGAAAAATGTTCTCGATGAGGAGGAAACACAGAGTTGGGAACATCTCGTAATCCTTTGGGGAAATAAAGACAAAAAAAACGTTATTTACTTCCCTCCGGCTTCTGGCTTGCAGACTGGTTAGGAGGGGCAGTTCTGCTTTTGGACAGTACGTGGGAGTAGCCGTGTCAAATCATCTCTGTGCCTTCAACCTTATCATATGCCTGAAGCAATAATCATTGACTATTGCCTAGAAATTCAGAAAAAAATGTAAACCAGAGAGATTTACCCCTTACTCTGAAATTCATATAGTGCCTCATGCTGACTTTTGGGTCTAATAGAAAGGGAAGAAAATGTGGGGCTGGATGGGAATCTGCTTAGATTTGGCTGAGGAGTTTGCCCAGGACCTGAGGAGCTCTTGCCTGTGTGGTCTGAGGGGGACAGGCAGAGATGTTGTGGCTTCTTTTTGCCCCAAAGCTGCAGAAGGTTGGGGTCTTTGTGATGTCAGAGCCTGCAGGCCTCCTGGGAGACCCAGGAGTGAGTGTTGGAGAGAAACCTCGTGCCAAACATTGTCACAGGGAAGAATAAAGAGCACTGGTGTGAGGAAACACACACCTTCATGATGGCCTGCAGCAAAGGGCCCTGGGAGGATGGTTCCACAAGGCAAGATGGAAATTTTGGCTTTCTAGAATATAATCTTGAGTCGTCTAAAACTTGGACCTTAGTGCTATGCTGCTGGTCCCAGCGGGGTGTTGCCCAGGGTAGGGAACAAACATCACCTGCCTGGAGGTTGGGGGGTGGGATGTCCTTCTAGGGAGCAGAGCACAGGAACTCCAACACTTGATCTCACAGGTTCTGGCTTCCAACTTGTGGTTTGACGTGGGACATGGGCTTGTTTATTCTTTTCTTCATCACTTAATGAGAAAGTTTGTCCTGGAAAGGGATGAAGGAAGAACACTGTCGTACAGCGGTGGGCAGGTGGCGTCTCACCACATCTTGCGAGGCTGAAAGGGGCAACTTCCACCTGGTGCTGCGGGCCAAGTTCCTGGGGAGGAGCATGGCTGAAGTACACGGGGGATGTGCCTGTTTTCATCCCAACCAGCTGGGGGGAGCCTGATGCACTAGCTTTATTAGGAATACCTATGAACAAGATTTCCTGTTAAATCAATTTCCTGCTTCTCAGCTGGCCTGGCCTTTTCAGGAAATCTCCGTGGATTTCCCCACAGGGTGACTAGCCAGGGGGCTTGCTGCATGGCCTAGGAGAGAGGCCACTGGCCCCCCCCTCCCGTTAGACTCCAACAATGCAGACAGGAGATAAGCACCAGATCCCCGTGACCCTTCCTGCCCTTCTCCTCCCTGCTGTAGACTCTTTGTTTCAGGCACCTAGAGCAGACCTCTGGTATTAAATTATCGCTGTTTTCTGGATGACGTGTTTATGGATTCTTCTGCAGCTCATCTGAAATTACAGCTGTAATTAGGACAACATCCACCTGTTTAAAAGCAGTGCAGGCAAAGCTTGCGCATTCTCTGGGAGGGACATCTTTTGTTGCCATAGCCATGCAGGCTAGTAAAATTAGTATAGACACCTGCAGAACATCCAGAACCACTTTGACATCCAAGGACTAATATAATTAAGCGAAGGGGCAAGGATGCTGACGGTGTTCTTCCGCCAGCAGGCTAAAGCCGACTCAAGACTAACTGCTTTTGCTTTGCAGAACTGTTGAGGTCCACGGCACTGAGACAGCTGCAGGTGCTAAGGCAGAGGGATGTCAGACAGACACGCTTGGTTTCCGAGGTAGGTAAAAAGACTTTCTAGTTACAGTGGTGTGCATAAAATTCTTACTGAAATGAGAGAGGAATTTAGCAAACCGTAACAATGGAAGAAGAAACTTAAATTGCAGGATGGTCTGTCCAGAAGCCTCTTGAAATTTGACTTTAAAGGGAGTAAAATAGTGTCACCACCTAATTACCTGCTTATCTACCAGGTAATAATGTACTACTTTTAGTCCTCCTTAAAAAAAAAAAAAAAAAAAGAAAAAAGAAAACAAGCACAGTGGCCCCGTGTATATGATTGTTATGGGAAGCTGCCACCTTACCGGTTGAAGTGCTTTAGGGCAGCAGAGCAGGTTAGAGGGGGATGTAAGTGGGAAATGTTTTAACAAAATTTTGACAGTGCCTTAAGGGCTTCATCTATTAGTCCTGGATTACAATACTGGGAGTTGTACAGCAAACTTGCCAAGAACAAAAGGTCAGAAAGGGGGGTGAGAGGGGTTATATCAGCATTTGCTTTGATATGTTTGATACTTGTATTTATATTTCTGTTTCTAAATATAATGTTGAACACTTTTTTTCTTTCAAACCAGCCTCTTCACCTCCTCCCTCCAGCGTGTGGACCACACGACGAGATGGAGAAGTCAGGCTGAGGATGGATGAGCAGGGCATAGGCAGTGAGGCACCAAAGACCGTTCATGAGCTCTTCCAGGAAGCTGCTAGTAAATATGGTGATTATTATGCCCTTGCATCCAAGAAGGGTGGCCAGTGGATAAAACTAACGTATAAGATGTACTATGATGAGTGCTGGAAAGCAGCAAAAAGCTTTCTGAAGGTAAGCTTTTGTTGAATTCTCCTCCTATTCAGTCAGTTTAACTGCTGAAATGGCTGTAGTCAACTGTATCTTAAACCTGCAAATTCTCTGGGTGTAGGTGAGGCTTAAAGTGGCAGGGAAATACCTGAGCACACAATAAGCAGCTTGGTAATTACCACAGTACTTTTGTTTGAATTTCTTGCCAGTTGCTTCTGCATTCAACTAAAAAACAAGCGTGTGAGGAAACGTTTAAAGAGAGGTGTTAGAGGTAAACAGCAAACCTGGACCACGCCCCTTGGAAAGCATGTAATTTTTAATCTTTCTAAGAAAAAAACTTGAACGAATCAGACTTGTGTCCAAACTGACTGAGCCTTTTGCCTGTACTGTTGGGAGTTAAGGCACAGAGAGAAACCAGCATTACATGTCCTTACTGTTCTCGTGATGAAGTTGGGCTTCTTGAAGTTAAGGCCACTCTTTTTTTACTCCTGTGATGGGATCTTCCAGTCTACATACTTCTACTCTGGGACAAAACCAGAGAATGGCTGAAGGAGATTTAAAGACTGAGACTTCAACAGCTGGAATTTCATAGCAAAGGGCCTCTGTCATTATTACAACTGGAGCTTGTTGCTCATGTCATTATTAATGTCTGACGTATCTAACCTGTACGCAATCTCTCAGAAGGTGTTTAACCTCTTACCTTCTCATTTCCAGCCCAAAGGGAACTGATAAATACCTGGATTGCAGTTTTAGAGCAGTGCCAGTGAGCTGGTCCTACCCAGAGCAGACCTAAGCAAATCCTTTTTTTCCTGCCTACTGATAAAGTGGGACAGTGTCTGATCCAAAACTTAACTGATTTCATATTGGGTCTTGGGAAGCTTTTCAGTGTGAATTACCTTATATAATAGCACGAACTTTTCCCTTGATGTTGTGCTCACAGCAGAGCTCTCTAAATTAACTCTTAAGCATTCTTCAAAGGAAAAGCAAGATTGCTGTAATCTCATGTCTTGTTTACAGCTGGGACTAGAGCGTTTCCATGGAGTGTGCATCTTGGGATTTAATGCTGCAGAGTGGTTTATTGCTGACATTGGAGCTATCCTTGCAGGGTAAGAGTGAGTGCTGTCTCTTGACATGCATTTTGCTTCAGCATTCAGGTAGTAATTTCAGTATTCATGCGAGAAGCAGTTTTTGATTTTAAAAAAATCAAGAAACCCCGCCCCCAACAATACCAACTGCTTATGTTTGAATTTAATGAAGAACCTAAATGCTCCTCATTATGAATTAATGAGACAAAAATTAAATTATTTAGCCAAGTGCTTATCTCGAAATAAGATGAACAGTAGGTTAATCCCAAAGCATGCTTACTGACACTGTGATGAAAGATATGATGGGAAATGCCAGAGAATCACAATGCTGGATTTTGATAACCGCCTTCCACCTGAGACATTTTGGTCCCTTACACCGTTCTGACACGTCCCATGCCCCAGAACAGAGCCTTTGCTCTTGGAAATAAGCCCTCCACTTCTTGCTGTTTTATGGGATATTCTTCCTAAAGGTTTTCCTCTGTTAAAGTTTGAAACGGTCTGAATTTTGCCAGCAACTCTGCTTGTCCTCTAATTCTGTGTTTTACTTTTCTGTTTTGTTTTTTTTTTTTTCCCCTTTTCTTTTGTAGTGGATTTGCTGTTGGTATCTACACTACCAACTCTCCTGAGGCCTGCTGTTACGTAGCAGAGAGCTGTAGTGCCAACGTTCTGGTTGTGGAAAACCATAAACAGCTACAGAAAATCTTAGAAGTAAGTGTATTTTTTTTTAATGACTGGAGGCTACAGCATCCTCCTGACAGATGTGGGGAGGGTAAATGTTGTGGAAGGGTAATACCTGGGGAAAATGCTGGATCTGAAAGCAGAGGTGAACTCTTGGAGCCTACTCAGTGTGCTCCCTGTTCAAGCCAGATGAGTAATCACTAGTGCTACATCTCACGAGAGGTTAAATGGTGGTTCTCCAGCTTAGCAAAGCCTTGAACTTCAAATTTGAGAAGCCAAAACAAACAACTGAGCATCCCCTAGGTTGGCTGGCAGCGTCTCAGTCCAAATGATTACTGTCTCTAGTGAGGTTTTCATAAACACAGATGAGAGTCTCAGCTTTACTTAGAATAGCAAGTATCACGAGCATGTTAAGTGGTGGGTTACTTAGGCTCAAAAGGGACAAGCAGGATTTGCTCCTTCTCACAAATCTCCCTTCTTAACACAGATTCAGCATAAACTACCTCATCTGAAAGCTATTGTCCAGTATGGGGAAGAGCTGAAAGAGAAGAGACCAAATCTGTACTCTGTAAGTACTGGGCAACTTAAGGGCTTGTGAATTCTGGCTGAGTTTAGCTGATGGCTTGCCAGCCACCATCACCTTCCAGGGGACTGTCATCACATGAGCTTGTGTTGGTTTTAGTGAGGGATTGCTTGCCTCGCTGAAGCGGTAGATGTCTGCTGCTTGTTCAAACCTTGATAATCCATGTTGTAAGGGAGGGTGTTAGCGTACCGACCTCTGCAAGGCAGCCTCAGGTCCTACCGTTCCTCCAGCTCAGCACTCCCAGTCAAAACCAGAGTTGCTGCCGACCTAGTGAGCTTCCTCAGGGCGGATCTGTCTCCTTTCCTGCTTCTTGCCATGCCTCTTGTGGCAGCCAAAAAACACTGTAGGGCTGACAGTGTATTCTGCATTTCCACGTTCTGCCAGAGGTTTGGATGCAAGAGACCGTTTCCTTCATGTGTAGCAAAGGGTTTAATTTTGCACGTGAATGACAGGCTACAAAGTGATCGAGCTCTTCTCTTCTAAATCCAGTGGAGCGAGTTCATGGCCCTTGGCAAAGATGTTCCAGATACTCAGCTCCGTGAAATTGTTGACTCGCAGAAGCCCAACCAGTGCTGTACACTGATCTATACCTCGGGGACAACTGGGCAGCCCAAGGGAGTAATGCTCAGTCATGACAACGTAAGTGTCTTCTTGTACAGCTGCTCATCGCAAGAACCCTGACCTTAGGTGGGTGCTGAGGGAGGGCAGAGATCTGCTGGAGAGCGTGCCTGATGTCAGGGTCGCAGGAGGCTGTCGGCTCGCTCTGGGCTGTGTGCGCTGCGTGGTGCCAGCTCGGGAGAGCCGTTGCTAAATACTGATGTGGGACCTTGTTACAGCTGACGTGGACGGCGGCGGCGGCGGGGCGTTTCATAATGCTGAAAGATGCTAAAGAAAAGCAGGAACTGGTGGTCAGCTACCTGCCCCTCAGCCATATTGCAGCCCAGATGTCAGATATTTGGTCGGCAATGACGTTTGGTGTTCAAGTTTTCTTTGCTCAGCCAGATGCATTAAAGGTAAAAACGTAATTAAAATTCCTACAGTCATCCACCTGCTTGTAGCTGGGGAGGGTGCTTTAAAACGAATGTGGCTGACTTACCTCCTGATTCTGAAAGCTGTTGCTAACCTGGTTTATTTGCAGAGTGACCAACTGCTGATGTGTGAGGGTCTGTTGGTTGGACAAGTACAGCCACTCTGACCTTTGCCTTCTGACTGTTGTGAGCTGGGATATGCTGGCCGAGCACTCCACAGCTTGGTGCTTCTCAGTGTCTCACCTGACACCAGTTCCCTGCCCCGACAGCTGGGTTGAGCAACAGCTTTGTATTTGCTCTGTCCACATTGCAAAATGCCACCACCATTAAATCCCTGTCCTGAGAAGAGAATGATTCTTCTCTTGGCGCTGTGTCAGTGCTGGCACTGAAAACATCAGCCCTTGCTGTCTGCTCTGTAGCCTCTGAATGCTCCTGGGGTTCTTTTCTCGTGGTGGCACAGCAGCTGACACGGAGCAATTTCTCAAAACTGATGGCAAAGTCCAGAGCTTCTGCTAGCGACCGGTGCTGACCTGAAGTCTGCAGTGCAGCACTTCTAAAAGCTGTATTAAATTCTGCTTTTGCTCAGGGCACTTTGGTAGACACCCTGCGGGAAGTGAGACCAACTGCTTTTTTGGGAGTTCCTCGCGTCTGGGAGAAAATGGAAGAAAAAATGAAATCCATAGGGGCAAAATCATCAACACTCAGAAGAAAAGTGGCGTCATGGGCCAAGGGGGTCGGGCTGCAGACAAACCTGAAGCGGATGAACGGGTAATGATGAGCTACACTTAAGGGGTGTTACAGATATTAGAACTTTACTGTCAGATCAGGAATTAGATCCTGTGTAACAGGCCAGACTTAGGGACAGTAAAAGCCAAATGTAGTGCTTGTACCAGAGGCTAAGCAGCAAGGGCTGGGGGGGGGAATAATTTTTTTTTACTGAATAAAGTAAAATAGGCTGAAGTTAAAGGAGGAAGGGGAGGAAGTTCTACTTGGTGACTGAGCTCTTGTAACCATTCTTCTCCTACAGGTATTCTGAAGTCCCGATGAATTTCCACTTAGCCAGGCACTTGGTGTACAAGAAAGTGCGAAAGGCCATTGGGCTGGACCGGTGCACCAAGTGCTACACGGGGGCTGCTCCCATTACCAGGGAGACGCTGGAATTTTTTTTAAGTCTGAACATTCCCGTGCTTGAGCTGTACGGCATGAGTGAGAGCTCTGGGCCTCACACAATCTCTCTACCTCATGCGTTCAAGCTGACCAGGTAAACACCTTGCTGAGCAGAGCACTGGCTGGGAGAAAGAGCTGCTTTGAGTTTTCTCCTGTGTCTGGCACGTTCCCCGAGTATTGCTGCCGGTAAAAAGTCACTAGGGAGCCAGTTCCTTTGGTCACATCCTGCAGATGAAGAGATCTGCCAAAGGGCAGCAGCCTTGTTACTTTAAATTTAACTTGGCCTACATCTGTAGGAACTGAGGAAGAAGCAAAGGATTCATGGGGAGAAGGAAAAATTAGTAACTCTAGCCCACAGTTTGCTTTAAGGTCAAATTAATAGATGCAGTAAGTCCTGACTGGCTTGTTCAGTCCCTGTGGGTTCAGTCTGTGCTGTGAACACCACCAGCAGTAGAAGTTTGCTGCCAGGGACATTAATCTTCTAATGCAAAGCTCAGGTGTTTAAGAACAATGGGTGGAAAACACCAGGTGTGTGAGCACTGATCTCTCTGCAATAACGACTTTTTCTGTAGTTCCCCTTACATAAGCAGATGCCTTTTTAAGTTTACGAGTTTCTTGCTGAAGCAGTTGTAACAAAAAGCCACCTGGCTTTGCTCAAACACTTTAGCTTGAGAGGGCACTGTTATAATCTCATACTGCTCAGCTATTGATTTTTTTAATTTTTTTTTTGGTAAATATTGTTTTAAATGCCACGGGTGTGTGTTCTCTTGAAGCTGCGGAAAGGCCCTCACAGGCTGCCAGACACTGATTCATAAGCCAGATGGAGATGGCAACGGGGAGATCTGCTTCTCAGGAAGGCACATCTTCATGGGCTACTTGAACATGGAAGAAAAAACCAAAGAGGCCATCGATGAAGATGGCTGGCTGCATTCAGGTGACCTTGGCAAGCATGATAAAGATGGATTCCTCTATATCACTGGCAGAATTAAAGGTAATGCACCCCCTGAGTTTGTCAGTACTATGGTACAGTGTGTTCAGACCCTGCTGGTTATGTGGTTGCACAAAAGAATATTTAAATACTTTTGAAGATTTTAATATGAATATGGCTGCAGCGTGTCCTGTTGCTGAGCATGTGACAAAGTGTGTGACAGAAGGAGAGGGCTGACCTCTGAAACCAGCATGTGTTTGCGGTGGAATTCCGATTCCAGCAGCAGTAGTTAGTGCTTTGTTGGCTTGGGTTTTGGGTGCCAGACGTGTCTGGGTCCAGCTGTGTGTCCTGCCAGCAACCCCCTCCCTGTTTCAGCAAGCTTTGCTACTTAACCTGTAAGGGAGAGCAGCAGCTTAACACAGTTGTGAAAACGGCTTGTAGCAACGCAGGCCTTGGGACGCCGCGTTGACCAACCCCAAACAAAATCCAATTTCATGCAAGACCAGTCCTCACAAAGAGATAAACGGTCACACAAAAGAGCTGCCTTAGGAAATCTGTGAAAGGCAGCCAAGAAAGGCTCTGCTCCGCGTCAACGCTGCCCAGCTTCAAAAACTCTGCTCTGCCTCGGCAGATTCACTTCACTTTCTGAACACCTGGCTACCAACTTCCACACCTTGGAGCCTCAGGTGACTGTGGCCGGGTACAAAGGCGCTCGTACGCTGCACCCCGTGTTCCCAAACTGCAAACAAAACCCCCTGGAAGTGTTAAAGCAGCTTTTGCAGTGCTCTGTGTGTGTGTGCAGGCCTCCATGTCCTCTCTCCTGGCCTGACCAGAGTCCGCCTGGTTTGCTGCCTCTGCTGGGTGCTGGGGCACAGACGCTCTCTTTGATCCGGTGGACACAAAGGAGCTATCAAGTTATTTCAGATGTGAAGGAAGGGGGGAAAGCTCTAAGCGTTAATCAAGGTTTGACTCTTTTCCAGAGCTCATCATCACTGCAGGAGGTGAGAACATTCCTCCCGTTCCCATCGAGGACGCTGTAAAAGATGCTCTTCCCCTCATCAGCAATGCCATGTTGGTTGGAGACAAAGAAAAATTCCTTGCTATGCTTCTAACGCTAAAGGTAATAGAAAAGAGGGTGGGAATCCACCTGTGTTGCTGAATGTGTTTGATTCCAGGGAGAAGGGTAATTGTTACACGGTTTTACATCGTCTTCTAGAGCCGGGAGGCATCGTGGAGTGTGACTTGTAGCTGAGTTGCAAACAGCAGTTGTGACTGTGCAGAGAAATGAGCATCACTGCTTGATCAGGCTGTGGGGTTCTGCTGGGCAGTTGTTTCTCTCTGTACCACACAGGGCAGAAAACAGAAGTAAAAGACCTAAAAGTGAGACTGAAAAAAAACCCCTGCTGCTTTTCTTACCCATTTTTTAGTATTTCCTGGAGCAGCCTGGAAAATAACGAGCTGTCAGTGATTCAAGGTGCTGGTTTTAAAGGCCACAGTGAGGCCTCTGTGGTGGCCAGGGCTGATGCTCAGGAGCCCTCCCTGGTGGTGGGTTTGGGCATGGTGTTAATTGCTCGTTAGCGAGGTTGAGGCTGATGACCTCGCCCTCCTGCAAGAGACTCGGAGCCAGGCCCGGGGGGTTGGTGCTGTGCTTCTCTCAGTTGGACACTGTATGTGTTGACTTCCCACAGGCTGTTACGCTGCTGTGGGATGTAGGGAAATAAACTGCAGCCCAGAAAAAAAAGGTCCAGAAAAAGGGGATTGACTTGGGATAGCGCGGGAGGAGTCGGGGAGGTGAGCTCCGGACCCAGCCTGCTCCCTGGTGCTGGCAGGGCTGTGGAGCAGGCAGAGAGCTGAAGGAGTTCCATTTGCATTTTGCCTCAGTGAGTTTGCATTTGAAGCGGTGGTTTGCATCAGGCGTATGCAAATTGCAGCGGTTGATTAATTGGTTGTTGGGTTGATTAATTGGCGCTGGGGCGGGGAGGGAGATGGGGCAGCTCCTGTGAGGGGAACCCTTGGGCTGTGCCTTGCAGTGCAAGTCGGACGGAGAAACGGGCGAGCCCTTGGATGACCTGGCTCCAGAAGCTGTTGAATACTGTCAGAAACTGGGCAGCAAAGCCACCAAAGTCTCGGAAATCATCAGCAGCAAAGACAAGGCCGTCTACGCAGCCATCCAGAAGGGAATTGCAGCAGTCAACGAGGGAGCGGTCTCGAATGCCCAGAAAGTCCAGAAGTGGGTCCTTCTGGAGAAGGACTTCTCCGTCTTGGGGGGAGAGCTTGGTGAGTGCTGGGTGGGGCCACTGGGCTCACCCCCTCCCCTCTTCCCTGGGTATTTTGCAGATAACGCCCTCCCAGGACCCCCCGCCCCCAGAGCTCCCTAGGGCCCTTGCTCAGCGCAGCTTTTCCAGGCCGTAGTTTTGGGGAGGGGTGGGGTGAATTCCTGGCAGAAAGCCTCACGGGACAGCTGCGCTGTGTCTCGTCACAGGGGAAGGAAGGGGAGACTTTATTAATCACAAAGAGCAATTTAGAAACCAACATCTGCTCATGTGCCCTGAAGCTTTGTTCAGGCTTGTTTCACTCCCCTACCGACTCCCGTCTCCAGATGGGACCGTCGCCCCTAAAACCTCGTGCTGGGTTTTGCCCGCAGGCCCCACCATGAAGCTGAAGCGACCAGCGGTGGCCCAGAAGTACAAAGCCCAAATCGCCCAGTTCTACGCGGAGGCGGAGGCGCCCTCGGCCCCTGCTGCTCGGCAGTAGCGCGGGGCCCTCGGGCTGAAGGAAACCCGATTCTCCTCCCGTGGCTCCTGTTGGAATAAAAGCAGCCCCGGTCCCGCAGCCCTCCCGACCCGCGTCCGGCCCTCGTGCCGCAGTGTGGTGAGCGTGTCCGTGCCCGGTGTGTTCCTGTCTGTGTTCGGTGCTGAGGTATCCCCAAATATCTCTGCTTTGGTTTTGTCTTTACATTTTTATAAGGGCAATACCAACATTTACCTTAAATCCACGTTATGTTTTAACCAAAGTTGGTTCGTTTTTTTTTGTTTTTTTTTTTTCCTGAGCTGAATGTAAAACAATCAGGAACTGCAGTTTTCCTGCTGAGGGAGAAAGGCAGATTTCTTTTTATAGCAGTGTACTTCCCTCCCCCTGATGCACGTTTAACTGCATGCTGCTGATATCTGAATTATTTTACATCTCTTTACCCACAAACTCTTATGTCGGGTGGTGAAGGCCGTGTGGCTGCACACACTGGCTCAGTGGGGATGTAGAACCTCACGTTTGCTGGGTTTGTCTGTGCAATATTTTTGAGTCTGATTTATCTTGAGGTATAATGAAGCCATAAACTGTTAAAATAACATACCCGGTCTGTGCTCTGGAGTGTTGCAGGCAAGGGCCTAGTGCCAAGGGCTGTAGTTTAGTCCTAGAAACGCTGGTCGGCACCTCCTGAAAGGGGCAGAACTGGAAGGGGGGGTGCAGGCTTTGTAGCTGCTCCTGCGGCGAGGAGATGGTGTTGGGAACCCCGAGCTCCTACGGAAGGTCCATGATCGACCCCTGGAGGCCCCTCACCCCAATTCACTCACCGAGGGACACCCGGGGTCGCCTTCTCCCAGCCTGGGGAGAAGCACCTGCTACTGGTAGCTCCTGAGTTTCTTCTCACTGGTTCTGCAAAGCTCGTTCCAGTCTGCCCAGTGCCTGGAGGGCCCGTTGCTCCCCACAGCAGATGAAGGATCACTTGTAAAATGGTTTACTCTGAACTCGAAATCACGACCTGAACGCAAGTGGAGCTGGAGGCAGCTGCGCTGTGGAACAATGGGGATGGGGGGTCACCCTCACAGCACTGTGGGGGCAGGAACGGGACCTGGACCAGGTACCTTAGGCGGGGCTTAAACTTAAAACTTGGCACCTGCTCTGGGCTCAGGGAAATTCCACTTGCACACGCCCGGTGGGGTAACGCGCTGTTGTAACCGCTGCTGATTGTGCGCAAACGTTTTGTGTTCTTGGCTGAGTTGGAAGCGGCCCCATGGTTCGGAGGAACGTCTAATAAATACCCGCTGCAGTTTGGTGTCGTCATGCTTCAGTAATTTCTGCAAACTAAGGCTCAGCTCTTTGCCTGACAGTGGGGATGGGGGGGGTACAAACTCCAGCCCCAGGGAGGGGAATTAAGCTCCTGGCCTCAACCTTTGGGCTTGGGACAAATCCCCACCTGTTCGGGGAGCAGTGGGGACAGTTCAGACCCCAGGGCCCCCAGATGGGAAGTGGCAAGAGGATTTAAGCAACAGACCTAAAACTGCGCCATATCTGCCCCCATCTCTGCTGCTCCTCCCCTGTATCCCCAACACAAAAC